TCCCGTCCCTTATTTACAAAACCAGTCCTTAGAGAGTTCCCAGTATGGGAATCACCTTAAACACGGTTAAGATTTATATTTTTTACAATAAAATATTTAGAAGGAGTGACTATAAGTACACAAGAATGTGTTAAAGATTTGAGGATAAAATAAAACAACGACGACGACGTGACACGTCGGTGTCGCTCGCAGCTATGACGGCTAGAGGCTATGACCTCTAGCTATGACGTTCTTATGCCCGGTTCTCGATTCTCGTTTAGCACTGTGCATGTCTCCTACCCCTTGCCCTTCGCCCGAGTACACACCGATCGGACAAAACATGAAAACGACGGCGCGCTAATATTTTAGTGATAATTTTTTTTTTAATTTACAGAATATAAAAATTTTATACGTTACAAGCTTTAAAGATGTCTAAATGAATAAATGCAATACTTTCTCTAGATGAGTTACGGCGTCTGAATTCAAATTGATTTAATGGTAAAAGACAATTTTTTTCTAGATAAAATTCTAACCTAGATTTTATAAGTTGCTCAAATATTTTACCCATACAAGATGTGTTTTTCCAGGCTTTAAAATGGGTATCAAACAATCTTCTTTCCAATCGTTAGGAATAGGTGAATGAAACCATAACATATTATATATTTTCAAAACTAGTTCTCTACACGCAGTATTCATACTTTTTAAAGCTTTATATGTAATAGTGTCCTTTCTAGAGTTAACAGCTGAATTGAATTCGGTCAAGGTTAGAGATTTGGTAAGATAATCACAATGATTATCATTTGAGGAGTGAGGAGTTAGAGGTGATTCATCTGTTTCTTGATTATATTTTATAAATATTCATTAGCTCAATTAGAATCTATGACTGATGTGTTATTATGAACACAAGTTTTGTTAAACTTTTTAATGTAATTCTGTACTCTAGAGTAGATTTATTAAAAGTTTCACATAGTGTTTTCTAGCTAAGCTGTCTTTCAGTCTTCAAAGTAATTTTTTATGGGAGTTTTGGCGGGAACTTGATCAGCGGCGGTTTGCTGCTCCTGTATTATTGTTTAAATAATGGTTTGAAGTGGACTTTGATATGTAAAAGTGGTGCGATTTTGTGTATTAATTGTCTACGCATGTGAACTATTAGTGGAAACAGTGAAACAAGTGCTCTGATGGTGATGGATTCTCAAGATAAGCTGTTTGTTTGCATAGGCGCCTTGAGATACCATCGCCAACTATCAGCTGTCTGCTGGCTCAAGTTGCCGTCAAAATCTCTCAAGGGCTGCACAATGTGACGCATCAACATATTGTGAAGCAGTGAACTATGAAGGATAATTATTTATAATAAACCGAATAAAAATATTCAAGACTTGGCCTAAAGGTCTAGATACCAGGCCATAAACTCCTATAAAAAAAAAGTAATTTTTTATCAGCTTGTAGTCTTTTAAAATTAATATAATTTCGTTCAGTGGGATCATTCTTAAATACTAAATATGCATTTTTACAATTTATTACTGCCTCATCGCAAATTCCACCAAGGAAGAGAATTTTTTTTTAAAATTTCTTTTAAGATATTGCAAGTTGATGTTAACATTTAGATTAGAAGACTGATTGGATGGTGTGGATTCATGCATGGCTTGTTTAACTAGTTCTATTAAATCTGTATAACATTTTAAAGGATTACTATAATCAAAACTGTAATTTTTAATTAAATTATCTATTAAATTTGGATATTTTGACCAATCGACCAATTTTAAGTTTACGTTATTTGTTACAGCTGTTTCTTGAAAGTTTTGATTATTGACTGTAATTTTTGTCTTTAAAGGAAAATCATAGCTGCCTAGGGAATTATTATCACATACTTGCCACTCACAAGACAGAGCCAGTGAAGATGAAACAAGTGTCAAGTCTAATGCATTCTGCCTCCATCTATGAGATCCTACTGTAGTCATCTAACCATCATTCAAGATTACAAGATTGTTGTCATCTATACTTGCAAGAACATCCGTACCTCGTGAATCCAATTCAGTACATCCCCATAACGTGTGATGGGCGTTGAAATCACCAGCTATAAAGAAAGTTTGCCACAACTTTGGATTAAATTATCTAATTTGGATTTATTACAATTAATTGGTGAATTAGGGGGACAGTAAACACTAACTAAAGTTACCATTATATTGTATTTGTACAGCTATGTTTTGTAATGAGTCATCAGAGAATGTATTGATAACACGAAATCCAACTTTGTTATGTAGAAGTACTGCTACTCCATTATGATCATTTCCTGAATCTAATCGAATAATATTATAACCTTTTACTCTAAAATTGTGCCTTGGTTTAAGCCAAGTTTTACATATGAAAGCAACATCTATAGTGTTCTCATATAAAAATTGTGTAAATTGAAAGCTATTTTTAATTAAACTCTGTGCATTCCATTGTAAAATGTTAAACTGATGCATAAAATATTAAATGTTAAATAATGAAATATCTATTTTGGTTTCATTGTATCTATGAGAACATCTTTAACAAGCTGAGAAGATATGGTGGTTTGTTCATTTGATTTATTAAGTGTTAATACTTTAATGACTGCATTTAAAATTATATTAATAATGTCGTCATTCTTTAGCAGTGACAGTGCAGTAAGAGCATCTTTAGGATATTTTTTTTTGTTTAATTCGGGGAATTTGTTTTTATTTAAAAGGTCTACAAACGGGGTTTTGTGTAATTTAGCCTGATTTTCTTTTATCTTTTGTTTCTTAACAGGACACTGTCCAGAAATGCTTAGATGATTTACTTTGCAATGTATGCATATCGCTTTATCTGAAGAGACTTGGCAATCTTTGTAGCTATGATTTTCAGTACAAATTGAGCATTTCACAGAATTTTTACAGTACTTTGCTAAGTAGCCATACCTTAGACAGTTATAGCACTGTTTCACTGGAGGAATATACTGATTGACCACGAACCGTCAACCATGAAGATCGACGTGGTCCGGCAAAACATTAGAAGCTAACATGATGGCCACGGTGCCCGTCGGCTGTAGCAAACTAAGTCCTGCCTCATTCTTATGTTTCCTCATTATCCTTTTAACACATATTATCTTCCTGTAAGTCGTTAGCATACGAAAAATTCTTGAATTAGAAAGATTAGTGGGAAAATTAGTTATGACTCCTATTACGGCCCACAGTTGCCACAGTTGTCAAATCTTGAAACCAGCGTTTGGGCGCGAACAACTCCTGTTATTTCTGTCCCTACAGCTGGGATAGATGCCTTTATTTTGTATTCATTATGAAATGTAACATTATTTAAAAATGCATTCGCTAGAGAGGGCTTCTCAAAATGAACGCCTCATCATCATCATCATCATTACAGCCTTTCATAAGTCCACTGCTGAACATATCCTCCCCCAAGGAATGCCACTGTCCTGAGCCAGCTGCATCCATCGACTTCCTGCATGTCTTACCATGTCGTCACTCCATCTAGTGGGGGTCGCCCTACACTTCACCTACCGATACGAGGCTGCCACTCGAGAACCTTTCTTCCCCATCGGTTGTCGGTTCTTCGAGCTATATAGCCGACCCATTGCCACTTCAGCTTACTAATCCATTGGGCTATGTCGGTTACTCTGGTTCTACTGCAGATATCCTCATTTCTAAGTTTATCACGCAGAGAAACCCCAAGCATAGCCCTCTCCATAGCTCGCTGAGCGACCTTGAGCTTCCTCATACGGCCAGCAGTGAAGTACCCTGTCTCAGATCCGTAAGTCATCACTGGCAACACGCACTGGTTTTACAATTTCGTTTTCAGGTTTTGAGGTATGTCTAACGAGAAGATGTGTCGTAGTTTCCCGAACACTGCCCAGCCGAGTTGAATCCGTCGATTGACCTCTCGGTCGAAGTTGGACTTACCTAGTCGGACTATTTGTCCCAGGTAAACATACTCGTCAACAACTTCGAGCTTAGTGCTCCCAACAACTAGCGGTGTGGCGTCATTGATCTGAAAAAGAAAAATAAACAATCAAAAATTAATAATCTGTGACGATTAGACGTATGACGCTTGCGCCCGGCTTTTGTTTTTGTTTTTGCGTTTTGCTTTGGACGTTTTTCTTCCTTCTCATGCTAATAACTTCTGTGCTATGTTTTGTGCTAAATTATAAACAGTATTTTATATGTGAACTATTCTATTTGTGAAAAATTGTATTCGTGAATTATTGTAGCTGTGAACTATAGCATATATGAAATATTTAATTGTGTGAACTCTTCTGCTTATAATAAACTTTTATAAAAAGTGATTGGTGAGTAATTTATTAAGAATCTCCCCACATCACTTCACTGGTGACCCCGCTTGGACTTTGTACTGCGAGAACCCAAACGTAAGCAGAATCCAAAGTAATATTTAAATAACAATATTCTAAATAAGATGGCAGAGAAACAAGCTAAACCCTCCCAATCATTATCACGGGAAACACGTAACGAAGAAGAGTCATTTACACCATCCGATATATGTCGTGTCGGTGTCCGACTGCCACCGTTTTGGGCTGAAGAGCCTGCTGTGTGGTTCGCACAAGTAGAAGGGAATTTTGCACTATCCGGTATTAAAGAAGATGAAACAAAATATTATTATGTAATTGCACAATTAGACCATAGATATGCGGCAGAAGTCAAAGACATTATAGTTTCACCACCTCAAAAAGATAAATACGAGAAACTTAAAACAGAACTTATCAAGAGGCTCTCAGCATCTCGAGAAAAAGAAGTGAAGCAATTGTTAATGCATGAGGAACTTGGAGATAGGCGTCCGTCACAATTTTTACGACATTTGCAACATTTAGCGGGCCCTAACGTCCCAGATGACTTTATCAGGACAATATGGACTAGTCACCTCCCAAACAATTTGCAAACCGTAATTGCATCACAGCCTGACTCAACTTTGGAAGCACTGGCTGCCTTAGCCGATAAGGTGCACGAACTTGTTCCGCCATCACCACACCATTTGGTATGTTCGAATTTCCATACATGAGTTATGGTTTAAAAAATGCGAGCCAAACCTTTCAAAGGTTTGTAGACGAGATAACACGAGGACTTGATTTTTGCTTCGTGTACCTGGATGATTTTCTAATATTTTCCCAGGACGAAGACAGCCATCTTGATCATCTTCGCCAAATCTTTGAAAAACTTAAGGAATTTGGTATGGTCATCAACACGAGCAAATGTGAATTTGGTAAGAAAGAAATCACCTTTCTAGGGTATCACGTCTCAGCCAACGGTGTTAAGCCTTTAGACAGTAAGGTTCAAGCCATCAAAGACTTCCCCACTCCGAAAACCGTACGAGAACTTCGGCGTTTTCTAGGGATGCTAAACTTTTATCGCCGATTTATCAAAGGAGCTGCTGAAATTCAGGCACCATTAAACTCTTTGCTGACGGGGTCCGTAAAAGGATCACGTTCCGTGGATATATCGGGAGAAGCCCTACATGCTTTTGAGCAGTGCAAAACTAGCCTCTGTCAAGCAGCATTCTTGGCACATCCAGATCTAAACGCAAGATTAGGTTTGGTAACCGACGCCTCAGATAAGGCAATCGGTGCCGCCTTGCAGCAAGTAAAGAATGGATCATGGCAGCCACTTGCATTCTTCTCTAAGAAACTGAAACCAGCCCAACAGAAATACTCGCCATACGACAGGGAGCTTCTTGCTATATACGAGTCAGTGAAATACTTTAGACACATGCTTGAAGCAAGACATTTTACTGTTTTTACTGATCACAAACCAATCTGTTATGCATTTCACATCAGAAAAGATAAGTGCTCACCCCGCCAGTATCGTCATCTCGATTTTATATCACAGTTCACCACCGACATCCAACACATCTCTGGAAAAGATAACATAGTGGCTGATACGCTTTCAAGAGTGGAAGAATTAGCTCAGCCTATTAATCTAGTTACCTTAGCCAAAATGCAGGACGTGGATACGGAACTGAAAGAAATTCTGAAAGGTGGGACATCACTTCGATTAGTTAAGGTACCAATACCTGGCACGAAGACAGACCTATATTGTGATGATGGAACTGGAAATCAAAGGCCTTACGTACCTCAAAACTTAAGGAAGCAAGTCTTTGACAGTTTACATTCGCTGAGCCATCCTGGGGTCAAAGCTACAACAAAGATGATAACAGAACGCTACGTTTGGCCAGGAGTAAAGAGAGACTGTCGTGAATGGTCGAAAACGTGTCACCCCTGCCAGCGTGCAAAAATAACACGTCATGTCTCCGCACCTTTAGGCACATACAAATTACCACCTGCCAGATTCCAATACGTCCATATAGACATCATTGGACCTTTACCTGTATCAGATGGATATCGCTATTGTCTTACAGCAGTTGATAGATTTACCAGATGGCCTGAGGCAATACCCTTATCAGATATCACTGCTGAAACTGTTGCAAAAGCAGTTCTTAATGGCTGGATCTCGCGTTTTGGGTGCCCTGCTGAAATCATCACAGATCGAGGAAGACAATTCGAATGTTCCTTATTTAAACATCTATCCAATCTAATCGGATTTCAGCATAAGCGAACTACATCTTACCACCCAGCGTGCAACGGTATGGTAGAAAGGATGCACAGACATCTGAAAGCCGCTATTGTATGTCACAATAATCAACGATGGACAGAATCATTGCCATTAGTATTACTGGGTATGAGAAATGCATTGAAACAAGACCTTCAAGCATCACCCGCTGAGTTACTTTATGGTGAATCACTTAGGTTACCAGGAGAATTTCTGCATTCTAACAACAGCGAAAGTAGCACAGATATAACGGATTTCTTATCACGCTTAAGGCTAATAATGAACAATATTCGTCCATCACCTGGAACACGTCACGGTAGTAAAAAAGTATTTATCTTTAAAGACTTACCAAATGCGACTCACGTTTATGTCAGGGATGACTCTGTAAAAGGTTCACTGCAACCAGCGTACTCCGGTCCCTTCAAAGTGCTGGAAAGAGGAGACAAGATTTACAAATTACTCATGAAAGGCAAAGAACAAACGGTCTCAATAGATAGAATAAAACCTGCCTATATACCCTCTGACGCTTCAGCATATCGAACACCACCTGCAAAGAAAAAAGAAGAGTATGAGAAAAGTTGTACACGCTCAGGACGCAGAGTTAAATTACCTGATTATTATCGCCCATCATAGATGGTCTCTGGGGGGGAGTGATGTGGCGTCATTGATCTGAAAAAGAAAAATAAACAATCAAAAATTAATAATCTGTGACGATTAGACGTATGACGCTTGCGCCCGGCTTTTGTTTTTGTTTTTGCGTTTTGCTTTGGACGTTTTTCTTCCTTCTCATGCTAATAACTTCTGTGCTATGTTTTGTGCTAAATTATAAACAGTATTTTATATGTGAACTATTCTATTTGTGAAAAATTGTATTCGTGAATTATTGTAGCTGTGAACTATAGCATATATGAAATATTTAATTGTGTGAACTCTTCTGCTTATAATAAACTTTTATAAAAAGTGATTGGTGAGTAATTTATTAAGAATCTCCCCACATCACTTCAGCGGTATAGGTGTGACATGGACATTAAACATGATCTTTGTTTTGTCCATGTTCATCTTAAGACCTATCCGTTGAGAGACACTATTGAGGTCATTGAGCATAGTACTTAGGTCCTCCAGCGATTCTGCCATAAGGACTATATCGTCGGCAAGTCGAAGGTGAGTGATGTACTCGCCATTGATGTTAATACCGCATCCTTTCCAGTCCAGTAGCTTGAAAACGTCTTCCAATGCAGCGGTAAAGAGTTTCGGGGATATAACGTCACTCTTTCTTACACCTCTCTGCAGTTGGATAGGTTTCGTACTCTGAATCTGTACTCGGATAGCCATCGTAGCTCTACTGTACAAACACTTCAGCACTTCTATATACCGACAGTCAACTTGGCACCGCTTAAGGGAATGCAGCACCGCCCAAATTTCGACGGAATCAAAGGCTTTCTCATAGTCGACATACGCAAGGCAAATCGGCAGATTATACTCTACTGTCTTCTCTACAATCTGCCGCAGGGTATGTATGTGGTCTATACTAAAGCCTTTTCGGAAACCGGCTTGTTCGGGAGGCAGGAAGTCGTCAAGTCTGCGTGCGAGACGATTCGTAATGACTCTCGAAAACAGCACGTAGACGCGAGTCAGAAGGGAAATCGGTCTGTAGTTCTTCAAGAGAGCGTTGTCGCCTTTCTTGAAGAACTTCTGCTCTACGCCTTCGGAATAGTGCCACCATGGAGGGCGGAATTAAAGAGCTTCTGAAGGACTTCAAGTACCGGTTTTCCACCCGCTTTCAAAAGCTCCGCTGTAATTCCATCCTCGCCCGGGGACTTTCCGTTTTAAAGGTGCTGGAAAGCCATTCTAATCGCGCTTAGACTGTCGTCCGGGATATCTTCGGAATAGTGTCGGATAAGACTCGCTCTTGGATCGTTACTCATACTTGCGTGTGGCTCCAACGATGATGTGCACAGCTGCCCATAGAACCTCTCAATCTCACTCAAAATCTCAGGTGTCCCGGAAACGATGCTGTCACATTCGGTCTTCAGCTTTGACAGTTGGCTCTTTCTGGCAGACAGATCTCGTGCAAAGACTTTGGAGCCTTGGTTCCGCTCGATCGATTCTTCAATAAAAGCTGTATTGAAGTAGCTTAAGTCCCACCGCATGCATTTGGAGATCTGTCTGTTCAGTTGCCTGTATGCTGTCAAATCTGTTGAAGAGTGTAGCTTCATCTCCCGTCTAACAGCCATGAGATTAAGAGTGTGATCGGAGAGTTTTTGTGTTCTTCTGCGGCGGGTCTTGCAGAACTTAGCTTCGACCGCATGGACAGTTTCAACGAGCTTATCATTCATATCGCCCACTTCATTGTAGTCTTCTAGGCACTGAAAACGGTGTTGTAAGTCGAGCTGAAAGATATCGGGACTTTGGAACAGACCACGAGGAGGACGGAGCGTTGACTTCATTAGACGAGACCTCTCCAACTTAACGTTTAGGTTTAGTGTGCCTCTATCCATTCGGTGATCGCTACCCATTTTCACCCTCGCGATCACGGAGACATCGGTGAACAGTAGTCGTCTGGTGGTCATAATGAAGTCAATCTTATTTTTTGTCGAACCGTCGGGGCTCGACCAGATCTGTGGGGCCGCTTCTGGAAGAAAGAGTTCATAAAAAAGGTCCCTCTTTCTCTATGAAGTCGGCCAGCTGCTGGCCCCTTGGGTTCCGTTGTCCCTATTCCAGATTTCCCCACTTTCAGCTCACCATTCTCTCTTGTGCCTAGTTTTGCATTGAAGTCTCTCCTCCACCACCTCATCGGGGTGTGCCGAGGTTGGTGCGTAAACCTGTATGACCTTCAGGGAATACCGTTTGGTGATTTTGAGAAATAAGGTACGCAACCCTCGACGACACACTCTCAATCTTTACAACGTTGTTAACGAGAGACTTGTGGACGATAAATCCGACACCTCCTTGGGACAGATGGTCGCCCTCCCGGTGATAGAGCAAGTTACCGGATTCTAGGATTACCATGTCCTTGCCCTCTCTTCGGACCTCGGATAATCCTATAATATCCCAGCGTAACTTATCTATCTCTTCTTCCAGCTCCACGATCTTCTCGTCAGTCCTCAGGGTGCGTGCGTTGTATGTTGCCAGGTCGAGTCGTCTTAGGTGGCAACCGAACCTCCACCGGAGATTCTTAGCACCCCCTGCCCCGTCGTTACCATGGTCGCCACCGTAGCCAGAAATAGCGGGGCCGCCGGGGACTGGGGGCCGTTTATTATTTTCATTGCTCATGAGGGGTATATTGGCATAGTTGCCACGCTTGGTGAGCGGGTTGGCAACCGCAGTTTTTTTTGTATTTTTGCTGTTATCAGGAAGATGCTGCTGCCCATCTCCTGCCTGTTTCCCTTTGTCGCCTTTTACGACACCCACGGGAAGATATGGAGTAGTGGATATTCTTAACCGCCACTACACGGCAAAAATGAACGCCAATTTCTTATTTATTCATAGATTGCAAATATTTAATGCCTTTATTGAACCTCTATGTAGTTATATATATGTAGTTCATACAGAGACATCATGTCCCGCGTGACGATTGGCCTTCTTTCATCATTTGATTTGACAAAGACAACAAAATCAACGAGGACAGAGTCCTCAGGGTACCTCCTGTTGTAGACAGATACAAAGTACTGCTTATACTTGCGCTGCTGTTTCTCAGAATCTTCCTCAGTACTGGTATCAACTTCTTCCTCCACAGTCGTTTCTTGAAATACTTCTTCTCCCAACAAATTTGTTTTCTACGTTTTCCCATGATGAGGAAACCCAGTAACAATAAAACAATAAAAGTTTATTGCCTTTTAACTAAACAAAATAAAATTAAAATTTTAGTTTAAAAAAAAGTCGCATATATTATATTACTAGGTTCCCGCGGTCTCCTCATTGATGTTCCTTTTTGACAACTAAATCATTAAATTCTTCTCCTACTGTCACCGAATCATTGCTTAAACAAAATGTAAAGGCTTGTTCAAATACTTTTAAATTCCATAGAGTACTGCCAAAAGATATCGTTAAATATTTTAAAACTATTGATGTTAAGAAAACGGCAGACTTATGGGGGATATATAAGTTATTTTATCTATAATAGATATAATAGAACCTTATCTAGCAACTATATTTAATACAAGCGTCGAATCTGGTGTGTTTCCTGATTTAATAAAACATATGTTGTATAGAGTCATACCTTTATTTAAATCTGGTAGTACATTAGACCCCGCCAATTTTAAATCGATTTCTGTACTACGAACATATAGTAAAATTTTTAAAAAAATTATTTTAGATCAGATGTTAAGTTTCTTTAATATTAATAAATTTCTCCATAAAAATCAATTCGGTTTTACAATAAGGGGTCGCCGACCGACCGAGAGAGTCTCTTAGAAATAAATATAAAGAAATAAATATATTAACTTTGGCCTCTCAGTATATTTACGAAAATTTAATGTATGTTTACAAAAACAAAGGTAGTTTTAGTAAAAAAGTGATATACAGTCTGTAAACACTAGGAACAAACACAAGCTAGTGATACCAGTTTCTCGACTCTACAGAGTTAGTAATTCATTCTTGGGGCGATGTATACGCTATTACAACAAGGTCCCGGAAAGTGTACAGGCTATTACGAAGTTTAAATGTTTTGTTAAGTTGAAACTGTATAAAAGGATTATTATAGTACAAATGAATATAAATGGTTGATAATAACCCCTGGAAATGAGTTGGTCGCTTCCAAGCTGTTTCTAAAATAAATTTTGTACCAACCATTAATGTAAAATATGCTTTTAAAAAAAGTCCCGCTGGGTTTCTTGCTGGTTCTTGGTTGATGCGGAGGTTTTTTTCGAACCAGTGGTAAATTAAAAAATGACTCAATAAGAATTACACATGTAATCTATATTGAATAAAAAATTATTCTATTCTATTCTATTCATCAATCGTTAATGAAACAAATCCCGCTTATTTTCCGATAACTTTGATTTTGAAGTATTAATAAGTATTTAAAAGGTGTGATTAAATATTTAATTATTAAGTAAGTTCATCGAGACAAGAAAATCCACAAAATTATACATTTCACATGTAAGTACAATTAAAATGTTTAGCACTCTAACCTCAATATTTCAGAACTAGTACAAATGTTTTATACACAAATGGACAGGGAAA